TTCAATTAAAAAACACAGTCATATTTTCTTTATAATATCTTATTAAATTCTAATAAATTGAATTTTTAATTAATTTTTTAAATTGAACTGGATCAAGTAATCTAAAAATATCTACTAATTTTCCATACAATGCAAAACAACAACAAATGAATAAAGTAACTAGTTTCTGAAAATTTTATTAGTTCATATTACATGGTCTCTGTTTTTTATTTTTTTATATTTTATTACAAGGCAAGAAGGGTTAGAAGTTAGATTAGTAGATGCAGAGAGTCAAAATCTTGGCACTCCAAAATTTACCGAAAATACTAACTCACTGGGTTATCAAGGCATCTGTCGCCACGTCTATGTTCTCTCTCTCTAAACAAAGATTTAGGGTTGTGTTAAAAAAATAAAAAATAAAACAAAAAAAACACACGAAAGGGGCTGGCTGCCCGAAGTTCACCATTCCATTAATTGTAATGTTGATAGAGGACGGGTAAGCGAATTTGATGGCTAAGAAGAAGCGGGCAGGTTGACGGGTAGAAGAAAAAGAAAAAGAAAAGGAAAAAAGAGAGAGAGAGAGAAAGAGAAAGGGGCTTGCTGCCCGAAGTTCACCATTCCAAAAATATAGTAATGTTGACAGAGGACGGGTAAGCGAATTCAATGGCTAAGAAGAAGCCTGCAGGTAGATGGGCAGAAGTGAAATATCTGGTGGAAGACGCTCCGCTGGGCATCCTTGAAGATATTTTGCTTTGAAACGAAGCACACCAACATTTACTAATAAGTAATAAGCCAATAGCAATACAACCATAGATATATAAAAGTCTCAGATCTCAAGTCTCAACACGAGGACGTGGCTCAACCTCGTTTTAGGAATATATCTTCTCCTTCTCCTCCCCCTCAATCTTATCTTCCTGATTTGCCCCCACTTGCCCAGTTGCCCATGGCACGCATGGGTCCCACTTTGTATTTGTATGTAATATATATATATATATATATATATATATATATATATATGTATGTATATGTTATGTTCATTGATGGATACCATGCCATGCCATGTCATACCATGCATGTCATCGCCATTTTACAATAACATGTCTGCTAACTCTACGATTCGTTGGGAAATAATTATATTTGTCTCTGTGATTGTAAGTAAACTCTCTTATTTTCTTTTGAAATTTTGAGTGTTGACAAATTTACCCTCTTAGATTTTACGCTTGCAGAAACAGTGCATATCACATCATCGAGTGCAAAAAATACCCTTAATATATCAAATTTGTGCAAATAGGTCTTACGGACATATTGAAAATATTTTTGTAAAATGACTGAAAATGACTTTGTGCAACCATACTCCTAGGGGGTAATATGCGACTAATCAAAGAGGTATTATGTGCACATGAAATGCAATTTTTTTTTTTAATTATTAAATTCTTTATAATTGTTACCTTTGGAATTACTGAATTATGATTCTTTACCAAAATTATTGCACATGAAATATAATAATAAATAAATTCTTGTAAGGAAATTTAAGGAATTTGAAGTGTAAAAGAGAAAATAAAAAAATAATTTTAGAAATCACAAAATTTAAGGGGCACCTATAAAATTTTGGACAATGTTTTGTGAATCGAGGTTGGATGAACTTCATCCAACATGCTGATGTGGCCTTATAGATTTAAAATAAGTGTCTAAAAGCAAAAGTTAAGTTTAAATTGGGTATTGCCCATTTATTCAGGTTTAACCTATTGTTTTTTTTTTCTCTACAAGAAAGACCATCAACGCCGGTTCTGTTCAACACCGCCACCACATCGCCATTACCGACCATCTTTGCTCGTTTGAATTATGGTGGGCCACATAAATGATTTATTGAAAAGGAAAAGAATTATGTACCCAAAGTCATTTTCCTTAATCACATGTTTTGAACCCCTCCTCATCTTTATGAGATGTTTTATTATCAATCCTATATCAATGAAAAATGTAAAAACCTACAGTTATAAATTCTACAATTAATAATACTAATAGATTATAAATTTAAGAGATGTTTTATTACTAATCTACAATTATAAATTCTTGTGGGGTGTTTTTGTCATATAAAAATAATTCCAAATAGAACAATCTAGAATGATGGAACAATTGAGTGGGGGTTGGCACTAACCTTAAAAAACTTAAAAAGTGGCCCCCTTTCGGTGCAACTGCCAAAGTTGGTAATTATTATTTACTATCCAAACATGATTCGTAACTTTCAGAGAAAAAAAAAATTAAAATTTTATATCAGTGGAACTATATCGTGTCAATCTACCAACCGTACACGTGTTCTTATTAGCATTTTATTTATGTAGGTCACTTCCTTGGTCGGCTCGTAAACCATGTATTGTCTCTCAAAACCAATCGTAGGCTATTTGACAAATTTTAATTTTTTCCCCCTAAAAAAAAATAGAAATGGTTTTGGACGGCTAAAGGATAAACTATAATATAGTATTATTTTTAGTATTATGCATATAATATTATTTTTATTTATGTAGGATGGGCTTGCAAGCCCAAAAGGGAATAAATCTAGGCCTAGGCTGATTGCATATTAATATTATTATTATTTATTTTATTAGAAAACATTACAAACAATCTATTGAAGGACCATTTCCAAATATCAAGAAAGAATAAAGAAAAGTAGAATAATACAATTATTCTTTAAATAGAATATTTTCATGCGCAATTGAGACTACGCACATTTGATTCTTCTTACACTCAATAATAAACGGAGTTGCGTACACTAAATAGAAAACAGATTATATGTTGTACATGATTCTTTTACATTATGAAAATTTGTGAGAACAATTTTTTTATTTTTAGCACTGTACAAAAATCATCTTGATTCAGTTTTCTGGAAGAACAATTTTGAGATTTAAATTTTTGTTTGGCTTATAAGAAATACCAGTAGTATTTTTTCTTTTTTAAAAAACGAAAAAGTAAGAAGAAAAGAAACAAGAAAGAAAAAAATCTCAGATTACTAAACAAGACAGGCACTATCTTTTTCTTTCTTTCTTTCTTCCCATCTTTTTTTCTTTTTCTCAAAAAATTGAAAATAAAAAATAATACTAAGATTCAATTGGCTGATAGTTTTCTAAAATATGTTTTATTAAACCGTTGTTGATGTTGAATAAATTCCATATCTCAATGTTCTTATCAGTTTCATGTTCATTTGCCATACAAACTTCTAATACGGTACCAAATGACATTATCATTAACAATAATACACTTAGAAATTGAGAAACTTTCGGATCAAAAAAGGCCAACAAAACTACAATTCAAGAATAGGACGAAATATATAACTCATTTATGATATCAATGCCATGTTTTTTTAAGGGTCCGTTTGGTTAGATGGAAACTAGTGATGGAAAGTGAAAGTAGGTTAGACAGAAACTAGTGATGGAAAGTGAAAGGAAAAGAAAGTGAAGTGACAGAAAAATTAAAGTTTCTAACATCAATTTGATTAGCATGAAAATTTTGCAGAAAAAATATGTAAAATTACCATTTTATGATTTGAATTGTATGCAACTTACCATAAAATAAAGGACAATCAAACTCCAAAAAAAATTTCCTTTTCCTGTTAATCAAACTCCAAAAAACTTTAAAAAATTTCCTTTCATTTCTAGTTAGTTCATGCTAGCCAAATGAACCCTAATGAATATTGCTGGAAAAGTTCCCTACCTGTTATATTGAAGAGCCAAAGCAGTGGAAGCAAAGAGCAAAGAAAGCACTAACAACGTGATTAGGGCAGTTTAAGCATTGGGGGTGGTTTTGAAATTTTATTAAAATATTATCTTAACGTTAACATTGTTTAGTGGACTAAAAGAAATTCTAAAAATAGAATCAATATCTAATTTTTTGAAAAAGGGACTAATATCAAAACCCATACAAATTGATGGGATTTAATTCAACAAAACCCTAATTTCTTTATTTATAATATTACTACATCACAAATTCCCAATTATGAACTTCTTCTTCTTCTTCTTTTTCTTTTTTTTTTTCAATTATACATACATACATACATATATTATATGCATTTTTGTTAACCATTGGGAGTATGGAATGTGCGCCACAAATTTAAATTATGAATTGAAACAACAAGTGCAACAACAAGGGTTAGCTTTCCAGTTATTCAAAGCTAAATATTTTAAGCATTGTTCTTTTTTTCAAGCTTCCCTTGGGTCCAATCCATCCTGGGCATGGCGAAGCATTTGGTCCACCCAGCGCCTTTTGAAAGAAGGGACTCGTTAGATCGTTGGGAATGGCCAGTCTATAGATATATGGTCTAACAAATGGATCCCCAATTTTGCAGGTACACTTCAAAAGCCCTCATCCTCTGTTTGTCCCCAGAAAGTTTCTCAACTGATGGATCCTTCTTCTAACACTTGGAATATGCATGAGGTGGTTAAATGGCTCCCTCTTTCGGTTGTTAGTCATATACACTATTGCTATTTTAGTTTCTTTAATTTGGAAGATAAACAAGTTCGGGCTCCGGAACCGAAAGGTATTTTTTCGGTTCGCTCTGTATATTATCTAGCTACAAAGTTTTTGACTGGGGGTAATTTTGCGCCTTTTCAAACCGATGATGGCGATCATTTACCAGCTTCTTCCACTAAAGTGTGGCATGGAATTTGGAGATGCAAAGCTAAAGAGAAAATTAAGATCTTTATCTGGAAATGTTGCAAAAATGATCTTTCAGTTTCAGCTAACCTTGTTTCCCGCGGAATTGGCATAGATTCTACATGTCAAAGATGTGGTCTTACCGAGGAGAATTTAATTCATCTGCTTTTTTCTTGTCCCACTTCTGTTAGTGTTTGGAAATTGTCGCCGTTTCGGTTTGATTTTTCTTTAACTCAACCCTCTTCTTTTCAAGAGTGCTGGGGGAGCTTAATTTCTTTATGGGGCATTTCAGCAAACTACCTTAAAGCTCTTGGTTTTGTTGCTACTTTTTGTTGGCAAATTTGGAAAGCTCGAAACTCCGTTATTTTTCATAATGAATGTTGGCCTACTCTCTTTATTGGGAATTTTTGGACGCTTCGGAGTCTGGCCTTCCTCACACCTTGGTTCCTGTCACAGAGACTATCACTTCTTTTCCCTCCGACTCTGGAAGAACCCTCCCTTGTGTTGGTGAGATCAAATGTAATGTTGATGCCTCGTTCTCTTCGGATTCCCTTCAGGGCGGTGATGGGGCTGTTTTTCGTGATAACCATGGGTCCATTCTGTATGCAGTTGTGTTTTGTCCTTTCAAAGCTCAGAATGCTTCTTTGGCTAAAGCTGTGTGCCTTCGTAAAAGCTCTGCTATGGGCCATCATTTTTCGTTCGATCGTTGTTGGTTTGAGACTGACTCCGTGATTGTTTGTAAGGCTGTTTTGGATGCTGACGCTTGTTCAGTGGACTTGGCGGCTATTATTCATGATATTCAGTGTGTACTTAAGAGAGTTCCCTCGTTTCTGCTTAGCCATGTGCGTCGACATGGTAACGAGGTGGCCCATATGATTGCTAAACTCTCTCAAAGTCATCTTCATGAGGACATTTTTCTTTCTCATATTCCATTGGATATACTCCATCGTGCACAGCTTGATTTACAGTGACTTCGGAGGCTTTTGGTCTTTGTATTGTTTGTCAGGAAAAGAAAAAAAAAATTGATTTCAGAACAAGATAATTTCTGAATTTCAAGGTATTTTTTTCTCCTTTTAATTTGATCAAAATCAATCTTGAGTAATAAGATTAACATTAAATCCCAACATGCCATTTGGAAACAAAGTATGGTTAATCACTTTACTCAAAATACTAGTGGCATAAGAAAAAAGAATTTGAACCAATCTTATTTAAAAAGCATCTTTAGCCTCCTTGAAGTTTCAAAAGTACATTCTCTATGTCCAAAAGCGCTAATCCTAATGAACTCTTCACCTCCAAGACCAAATCCTTCACCTGAAACAGTTAGCTAGTATATGTGCTTTGTCAAGAAGCTTGGCAAATACATCCCAGAAAATGAACCTATATAGCGGTTAATCACATTCTCTGTGCATTTTTCCCGCCATATGCATTCAATCCAACTGATGCGAACGTGTCGAAAATTATTTTGGTTAATCACATCATTCAAGGCCTGAAAAGAAACATCAACTTTTGTCATTTCATATCCTAGTAAGGAAATCAGTTGAAAATAAAGAATCATTTATAATCTGAAAAATAATATTGTTGGGGAAAAGGAAAAAAAAAAAAAAGAAATTCACCCCAACAAAAACTAACTGATCCATAGGGTAGGTTTCTGTAAATGAAAATTTCTTTCTAAAATCATTTGAGCCTAAAACAAGCCAATAAAATTGAAAATTTCAACATATACACACTTGTTTTTACATTTTGTTCATGCATTTTGAATATCAACTCATTTCTATCATTTGAAACTTGATCAAACGATGTATGAGTTTGAAAACGGAATGATAACTTAACCTGATAACCCTTTGATGAAAGGCATGCAAGCCCGCCAGCCTGAGAACTACTAGATGCACCATTGAAGCAGGTGCACACGACACGCTTAAAATCCCTTATGACGGGAAATCCATTAGAATAGGATAGCTCTTCAGGCCGGGACCACAGTCCAACCAAGGCGGACGCCTGTGAACCCAGTAAATTTGGAGAAAGATGAAATGGAGAGGAGAAAGAGCCAGAGACCTAAAAGAAGGAATCTAGTTTGTGTATATCTCAAGAGTGTTCTGACATGACAGAAAGATAAGGTGTAATTTAATCTTGTCAACAATTATAATAATAATAAAATAAAGAGGGCTTTTATCCTTGGCTCCCTGCCATAGTATGATACTATGCCCAAACATTTCATAAACAGCTAACAAAAGCCTAATAAGATTTACCGGATGTTGGGAAAATATGTTGAATGTTAGATTAGCTGAAGGTGAGATATGTCACATTGTGAACCATCTCATACAAAAATCTAATTGCTTTTAACACCCATATCTCTCTACAATCTTCTGGCAATTGCCTCCCGTAGTTCCTATTGGAGGGAAATGTAAAAAAGTTCCTTCTATTGGTATGAAAACTACATAGCAAGAGCATAACAACAATACCAATTACAACTACATAACTCATCCAATCACATTTTATTATATTCTCCTCAATTGATTTTCTGTTGAAACACAGTACACACTGACAAAAGATCAATTTCTGCAACTAATCTCTACCTTCAAATTGTTAAGGAGTCCAAAAACTTTAGCATATAAAAAGGAGAAACATAATTATATGTCACCAGCCAAACTGTAATGACCCGGTCATTTGACTCCCTTTCTTCTTCTTTTTTCCTGAAATTTTACGGATAAATTTTTTCCGTTTAATTCTTCTTTCTGAGATCTGTTTCTCGTCGTTTAGTGTCATCTTGAGTGCTCAGAATTGGTTCTGAGACTCTTTCGTGTGTATTGACAACTTCCTTTGAGGACCGAGTCATTTCCGCATTTTCACTTTTCGAGACACTATTCACTTTTGTCCTTTTCCCTATTTCGTCCTTTTCCCTATTCTGTCTTTTCCCCATTTGTCACTTTGTTGGCAAAACCTCACTTTTCGTGCTCAAAGTTAGTTTTTAACTTCACGTGCCTCCATCTTAAGTGATTTTCTCGAAATACGTATCTTTACTTTTGTAAGAAAGTACTCAGGTTGCTCCCGATGTCTATAGGGGCATGGATGCACAATTCTTTAGAATCTTTTTCATTTCTTGGGGTGTTTTTCATAAATATCTTTTGAAGATATTTTATTTCAGGGGTATCTAAGAAAATATCTTTTGGAAGATATTTTCATTCTGGGGCAGTTTCGCAGTTAACACTTTTTGTAGGTGCCATTATTCAATTAACGAAAGTTATCGCAAAATATCTCGTCTGGAGCCTGAATCCTCGTACGGGATTCATTTTCACTTTTCGTTGACTCGTAAATTCATAGAATTTCCTTCTGGTCGTTTTTCTCCAGTTTCAGAGTTTTTGGACCCGATTGCCGCTGAACTTGTTCAGGGCATAACTTTCTATTCGGGACTCAGTTTTTGACGCCGTTTCTTCCGTTATTCATATTTTGTCATTTTGAATCTTTTTTGTTCACGGAGTTTTTCCATTTGAGCGCGTTTGCTCAAAATCCACTTTTCCGGACCCGGCGAGGCCCGTTCGGGGCACTTTTTGAGATTTCTATAAAAGGGGGATGAGATATTTCATTTTTCATCTTCCCCACTCTCCTTGCACAAACTGAAGCAGCCATGGATGCCCATGGAGCTGCCACATTCTCTCTCCTCCTTTGATTTACTTTTCCTAAGTGAAAAGTCTTCGACCTTCACGTTTTTTGTTCCCCTCGACGTGTTCTACCATTCCCCCTTATTAGAATTCATTTTTGACCATTTCTTGAGTTTGGGTTTGAAGTCAAGCTATGATTTTCATGGGGCTTCCTTCGGATTCATGTAGATTGTGTTGTCCCCGACAAAACCCTTCGGTTTCGGCGAATTCGGAACACTTTTTTTTCGGTAGGGATTTGAGGTTTTCATCTCAAATTGAGGTAAGGGGTGTTATAATTTATTTTATTGCTATATTACATGCTTGTGATGCTTATACACCTTGATTACATGCTTGAATAACAAAATTTAGAGATTTTATTATTTATTTTTCTTGTGAAGGATTTAATTTTCCGGTTATCCATAACTTTGTTTAAACATGTGGCATGATAGAATATTGCCCCTTGATATGTTGATTGACATATATTAAATCTAGATTATTTGGACAAGTATTGAAGATTTTATTTAATATTTATCTTGAATAAAATATTAAATCATGTGGCCTTAACTAGCTTGAAATCAATATGTGTTAGCATATTATATCAGGCCTTGGCATGCTCTCCAACATAGGTGAATTTGAGAGAAATTGGAAGTGTTTTGAAATCTAGTAATATTTAATTAATTAGATTAATTAAATTGCTCCAAGTGTACTATTCATCCCATTGGAATTCTGACTTAAAATTCTTGATGTGCATGGCATGTAGTTTCATATATATTAAATCTAGAATATTTGATTAGGTTTTGAAATCTTTCAATTATTATTTTTCTAGTATTACAGTTTAATACTCAATGTAGTATCTTGCTTAGAACTTACTTGTATCATGGTTTTAAAACAAGTCTTGACATGTTATATAACATACTTTAATTTGAGGTCATTTGGATGACTTTTAAAATCTAGAGATTTTAATTAAATGAATTAATTAAAATCCATTCAATGGTTCCATGAGCTAGATTAAGTTTCTAACTTTGTATTCATGATTTCCTTGGCAAGTTCCTTCACGTGTATCAAATCAAGAATAATCGGATAAGTCTTCAAACTTATATTTAATTAATTCCCTTGTATGGAATTTAATTCACATGGTTGCATCTTGTATGTAATAGACTTGTAACTTGACAATGAACTTGGCCTTAACATGATCCTTGAAATAACTTGTTCGTAGAACATTTTGACTCACCTTGAAACCTTGATAATTTAATCCTTGAGTAGATTAAATTTCCTTATATGCTTCCATCGAGTTAATCATGCCTTGTTAGTGAATTCTTGTTAGACTTGTGAATTTGACTTGAATTCCATGGACTTTATTTTTTTTATCAAGCATCGTGAACACTTGTATCTTGATCTCATTAATGTACTTAACAAATATGCACATTTGTCTTGGAATGGTTTAATTACACATGTGTTGCTTAGAAAGTAATTAAATCATGTATCTTATACTTGTGGTATATTTACTTCAATGAACTCCATGTGCTATGTATCTTGGTTGTTGTCTGTATAGTTGCACACTATAATTTCTTGACATTTCACATGCCATGTTAGTTGATGAACTTAGGGCATGACTTGTGTGTTCCAAAATCTTTGTTGTGCATGAAACGTGGTTAATGCATTAATTGTATTTGATACAATCTTGGGTGCACAATTTGTTGATTTTGGGACTTGGGATATCAATCAAGAATTGTCATGGCTAGGGCTTGGGTCTAGTACGGGGGATTGTCCTCCTACACTATAGTGCGCACTAGGGGAAAGGTACACATGGGTTAGTAGCCCTAAAGTAATCTCAAGAGTACGGTTTTAATCCGGGCGATATCCGAGTTTCCACATTGGTTGATTTCACTCTTTAAATGTCAAGTTGCTATTCCTTGAAGATTTAAACTTGTCATGTTATGTGAAATGCACCAATCTTGTTAAATCGCATAGATTTTATGCTTTGTTCTTGATTCTATGTATAATTCATATCTTGTAAGTTGGAATGCTCCAATCTTGTTTAATCACATAGATATTATGTCTTATTCTTGACTTCATGTATTATTCCTATTGTATTAATTGGAATGCTCCAATCATGTTAAGTTGCATAGATTTTATGTCTTGCTCTTGGTTTGTGTGTTATTTCCGTCGTGTTAATTGATATGTACTAATCGTGTTAATTGCATCGATAATGTAATTCTTGTTAACTTGTATTTAAGTATCCTCCTTATCGTGTTATACAGATTATAGTAAAATTTGTTTAATTACATTAATAGCGTGATTCATGTTAACTGTAAACTTGTTGTATTCATTGGATT